GTCATGTATGTTACTTGCAGAGCCGATGAACTGAGTAGATTCTTGGGTCATGAGGTCAAAGGTCATGGGCTCATTATGTATGCAAAAATTGCTTGTGAACGCATTCTCATTAGAACTGACAGATGGATTACTATTTAACTCGGGACATCTTGTAGAGCCAATGAACTGAGTAGATGTTAGGGTCATGTGGTCAAAGATCCAAGGGTCATATGTATATGAGAAATTGCTTGTAATCACGATATTCTGCGAACCTGTTAATGGATTACAATTGAACTTGAATTTGAACAATTTCTTCTGTTTTTGTTTGTAAAATTGCTCTATGACGGAGGCATCATTTCGACTGCGCGCAGTCCAAGTTCCATCTAGTTTATTACATTATTTGCGATTCTACGTGTTTTAATAATCAAAGGAAATGGTACAGTGAAAGGTCAAAAAAAAAAAAAAGTGAAGACAAATATTGTTGGAGACACCCGGACTTGAACCATGGATCTCGAGGATGGAAGTCATGTGCGTTACCGATATACCAAAACATTTCCCATAGCGATTACACGTAAACGGGAAATGGAATTCTCAAATCCTACTTTGCAAGTGAAATATGAGCATAATCCCAGCATCTGATCGAAAAATAAAAGGCACACGTGCGTTAGCTTATTGTCTCAGCTACAACATATTCGAAGCTCAGCGAAAACTAATCTAAAACAACAGATATTTTTCTTGCGAAAGACAGGAGTGTAGAATCCAGTTTTGAGAAAAAGTCATGTCCCGTAGAGAATACACGCAAAATGTGAAAAATTGACATGCCTCCTTTAATCGCAAAAATACGCCATGATGCCTTTGTCGAAATGAAAAATTGTGGCCACTATATTTGTAGAGAATTGTCTCAGCTAGAACATATCAAAATTTGAAAGAAAATTGATCAATATGTACAGAGATACAATCAATTTTCCAAAAATATGCTGACATCATAATATGCAAATTGAAATTTTGAGTTTGGAGGCCATTATGATGACGTCATGAGTTAATTGAGGGTCAAAAGAGACATGAAATCATATTTCCGACTCGTAATCTATCTAAATATGAAAAAATATGGGAGTTCCTTAGATAGCAAATAGTCTCAGCTACAACATACTAAAATTTGGGAGAAAACTGTTGAATAACAACCGAGATACTGGTCAAAACACATTGTCATGCAGATTCATGTTTTGAAAAAAGCGACCTCCCATAGACATAACACGCAAATATGACAAATTATGCATTGTCGCATTTAATCGAATATTTAACTATGATGACGTCATCCAAATGAAAAATAAATTGCATATTTCTGATAGAGAATTATCTCAGCTACAACATATCGAAATCTGGGAGAAAATCGATCACTGATAAGCGAGATAATCTCAATTAAACAAAGACAAAAATGACGTCATCAACAAAATACATTTTCTTTAGTTTAGATGCAAATATGAAGATTTTGTTTCACTTTGTACGAGTCAGGGTGGTATGAAATCATATCTCCAACTCATGCTCTTTCCAACCATGATATAAAAATTGGGGGTCGACGGACTATCTGAAGAGCTATTTCGATTTATAAAGTAGCATGTTTTTGATCAAATTTACATTATATTGCCCATAGCAGCACGCGCGGAATTTGAACTTTGACGCGAGCTCACGGCCTTATGAAAGGTCAAGAGTGACTGAAATTAATGTAAATTGTCATTTACGGTAAGAGGAATCTAAATCATGTAAACAAATTGAATTTGACCTTTTCCGCACGTTGTGAGCGCGCGCACCGCGCGCGGGGACAAGTACGGACGAAAAATTTTGAAATGCTTCAAATGACCTGATTCGTACTCTCCTTTAGTAGTTAAGTGATTTTGAGCAATTTTAAATTTTTCTAAAGTATATGTGATATAAATATGAATGACCTTTGCTTATGCATCATGAAGATATGATGGATAACGTGATTTCACAAAATGGCGCCTGGATGACGTCGCGATATTCTAATGACCTTGAAAATGTTCCATGTCACGTCTCATGACTCAATGTCTCAATGTGGCAAAATTTAATGAAATTAACTAAACCAAACTTGAGTTATCCGGGGCACAAAAAACGGGAAGAAATAAAAATAAAGAATAATAATAAATAAAGAAAATTCTGACGAAATCAATAGGTGGTCTGTTGATAACAGACCACCTAAAAAAATAAAAAAGAAAATCTTGAAGAAATCAAAAGGTGATACGTAGACTTTGTACGTATCACCTAATAATACCAGCCTCACAGCAAGCATGCAGTGCTAGAGGTCATTACGCATTAGCATTGACTCTCTATGCTTTGCTGGAGTGTGCTAGCCTAGTCTATTCCAGATAGCCTTAAACGAATGAATTTTGTTGGACTTTTAGACCTAGTCCTAATTACCTCCTGAATTCAAAAATACGCCATGAAAATCGATCAATATGAGAGATACAATCAATTTTCCAAAAATATGCTAACTTCATGCAAATTGAAATTTTGAGTTTGGAGGCCATTATGATGACGTCATGAGTTATTGACTCTCTATGCTTTGCTGGAGTGGGCTAGCCTAGTCTATTCCAGATAGCCTTAAACGGCTCCCATAGGGTCTCACGGAGAGACATATAAACAACACCTAAAATGTGTCCCAAATCACTTTCCCGCACCCGACCAATATTGGACAGTGGCCTTGATGAATTTTGTTGGACTTTTAGACCTAGTCCTAATTACCTCCTGAATTTAAAAATCGGAGGTAAAAATAATGAAATAATTGCAAATTTCTTACCAGAACGATACGGCTTAACTCCCTTTTCACTGGAGCGTGTGACTTTACGATCCCTACACAATGGTGTTGATCTCTGACTGGCACTTTGTAATGTGCTGCTGCCGTATAATGCGCTGAATAACACTCTTACAGCGCATCATACGGAAGCAGCACAATTACGGAAGTGCCAGTCAGAGGTCAACCCCATTGTGTAGCGATCGTAAAGTTAGAGTGTCTGAACGATTTTTCAATTTTCAATTTAGGATCGTTTATCACCATTTTTGTTTGATATTTGAATTAAAAATGTAATCAGAATGATACATTTCAAATTTCAAGTCTTACTGATGTTTCTATCAAAAGATACAGCCCCTCTGAAACGCTGCAATATTCATAGCAGTTTTCGACGAAAAAGACGTACACGCAGAGTTATGTTGTTTTGCTAAATTTAGCCAAACAGCTGTATCGTGTGATATGCAAGCGTACGCAAATGCGTAACTTGCAGATTGAGCCATGTTGTCTCCGCGATGAAAGTGTGTATAGCCGTTTGCACACACTATACGAGCAGATGTTACACAATGTAACCATTGTTTGGACTGAGCGGAGCTCACGCCTCCCTAATTTGCTGATTCAAAAAATGTGGGAAGGGTATTTTCAAACTGTTACGGCGAATGATCCCTTGGGGCTAGCGAAAAAAAAAGCACCTGGATATCATCCTTTACGTCTAGCCCTACTTAAGCTGCAGGGGCGCGGCTCAGGAAAGTGGCAAATTTTGGAGATTTGGTTGATTTTGGGTGAGGGCTACCAGCGTTTGCCGCATATTGTTTAAAGTTTTGCTAACTTCATTTTGTTTAAAGTGTGGTATTTGGTGCGTTTAATCGACACTTTTTCACCCTAGAATCACGGTTTCTAAAGACGTTTAGTTTAAAACGCAATGCGTTCAAGCGATTTTCGTCGGTCGTAAAAATAAACGTGTTTAGAAACACAAACATGAAACGCTGAAAAAAAGATGCGTTTTGTATCATGATTCTGCAGAATCACGGTTGCTAAAATTCGATTGAACGGGCGGAGTTTTCAATCATGATTGTATGACGGAGCCTGTTCCGGTTTGGACAAAAACCGCGCGCCTGCTTTTCATGCAATTTGCGTTTACTATACCATGCTCTTTATCGTGGCCTGTTCCGTTATGTTATTGTTTCTTCCTTCTATTCTTATGTTATTCTTTGTTTTTTTCCTTCTATCACCTTCCCTTATGTTATTCTTTATTTTTATAATTCTATCACTTTCTCTTTCTGTCTTTCCTTATGTTATTCTTATGTTATTCTTTGTTTGTCCTTCTATCACCTTCTCTTATGTTATTCTTTGTTTCTTCCTTCTATTCTTATTAGTGGGGTAGCTTAGTGAAAAAATCGTGACACGGTGGACAAAAGCATGATTTTTTCACCAAATTATCTTCACGATGTACCTTCTTAAAAAAGGCTATGCTCCAAGAAAATTGATGCTGGAAAGGTGGTGAAAATGACGTCATTATGACATCATCATTTATTCATTACATAATCACAGGAAAACCCCAAAAATAAAGCAACCGTGGTCCTACTTCTATAGTTTTGAAGCAAAAAAGAAATGAAACTTGGTGTATGTGATGACATTGAGGGGTAGATGTGCGAGACATGTTTTTTGTGTTTGTCGGACAAAGCGTTGCCATGGTAACCACAATTTTACCAAACCTTATAGTGCAAATTACTTCCACAGAATTTAAGCAATTAATGTCAAATTTGGTATCTATAACGATCTATGAGTGTGGTTATAAAAAACACCCTTTGTGACTGTGCGCCACCTAGCGTTGCCATGGTAACCAGATATTTTTGCAAAACTCTTGCTGAGCGAACTACTTCCACAATATTGAAGCAATTGAAATCACATTTAGTGTTCATGACGGCACTGGGGTATAGATGTGCAAGACATACTCTTTTTGTTTTTCGGACAAAGCATTTCCATGGAAACTGTACTCGGATAAAGCGTTGTCCTGGTAAACACATATTTTTGCATTAACATGAAGCATTTAAGCTATTATGATCAAATTTGGTGTGTACGATGATCTATATGTGTAGTTGTGCAAAATGCCCTTTGCGTTTGCACCGGACAAAGCATTGTCATGGTAACCACAAACTTTTTGTAAAAATCTTGTTGAGCGAATTACTTAACTCAAAAAGAACTATGGTTTTTTTTACACACACACACACACACACAACACATATACACAAATAATTTTTAACCCAAGTTACATTCTTTATGATCACATGAGTTGGATATACTGGATTAGGGGTATTAATCACCTTCAGTGATATTTCTAGTTTGCTCTGGTTTTAAATCTTCTTGGCATCAGAACTGATGGGTCATTACTATTATGGTACCACTTGGACTACATGTTATATATGGTCATTTTCACGGTAAAGGGTGTAACTTTTCTCAAACAGGGTCAAAATTTCAAAATATGTTTTCATAATCATTTTTACTAAATTATGGATTTTTTTTGGTTCTGGAGCTTAAACTACATGAGAAACCTGGACAAATAATGAAAAACTGTGACAAATATGATAAATTTGAACAAAAACAACATTTTAATTCTATCAACTTAAATGACAACATTTGTTCTCCAAACATAATTCAATTGCGATTTTTCATTTGCTATTCTAATGTACTTGAAGGCTTATAAAGCTTTTTGGTCAAACTTATTTGGTCTTTAAAAAAATTCAATGCGTTTGTCAAATTCAAGACAAAATATGAATTTGACATTTAATTTGTCAAATTTACCTATCTTCCAAGAGGGGGAGCAAAATAAAAATTATTCTACAAATACCATTCAGTGAGGGCTAACTACAATGCAAATTCCAAAGAAATCGCATTTCAAATGAGGAAGTTGAAAATTTCATATGTGTGTGTTTCGGAGGCTTCAGGTTAACAATCTTGCCTGTTTTGGAGGCTTCAATTATGTTAACATAAAATTTTGTCCATTACTTAGGTAACATATTAAGAAAAATTCAACTTAAACTGTTAATGATATGTTAAATTACTAATATAACACCTAAAACATTTGTTTACAGAGTAAAAATACTTGTTAATATACAGTACGGTACATGTATGTTACAAATTATCTTTACTTAATACAATGAGCTTTTTGTTCAGTACGCAAACATTGCAAAGTCACTTAATAGAATCCATGAGGATTTCAAATCTGTGCTGATCTGGGCTGAAATATATTGTCCAGTATGTAATTTCAAGGGAAACCACTTTTCTCATATCAAAGTTGAAACATTCAGGGAACATATACATGTATAGGATTAGTTCAAAGTAGTGTTTCGGAGACTTCACACATGTTAACACACTATATTGTCAACTACAAAGGCAATATACAAGGCAAAATTTAAACTTACTTTTGAAGTTTTGATAAAATGTTGAACTGAAAGTAAAGTACTTAAAATAATTGTTCACATAGAAACCATTTATGTTAATTCATAGCAATGTATCATTACCCTTCACTTGCGTCTTTGTCATCATTTATTCTTAGTGCAAAGAATTACATTTCTGCACAGTGGCTTCCACGAACTTGTTTGGTTTGTGTTATAACATTTACCCAGACATTCATATATTTGAAACCAATAGCATGGTAAGCATTTACAGGTTTTTGTCCTAGAACACAATTGTGTTCAACTTCTTATTTCAAAGAAATTTATCTGCCAACATGTCCAGTTCTCATTCTTAAAAATTATAAGCTAGGTAAGCTATGTCGGCTGGGGTCATGGTTAGTAGAGTCATCTTCTGTATTACATCTTTTTAGGCTGATGGGCTTCACAGTCCTCTGTAAATTCATACAGACCATTGCTGTTCCGGCGCATGAATTTGACTTTGACATTATCATCAATCACAGCTTTTACCTAGTAGCAAAATAAGAATATAGCAAATACAAACTTTCATTAAAACACAGAAAAAAAATAGCTTTCAGAATCCATTTCACTTCCTTGAAATATCTCACAGTCCGTTATTTTATTTTATTCACCCTGTTAACTTTGTTTAGTACCACAACACCTGCTCATATACATTTTAGAAAAATCTTTTTGTCTAAGTATTTCTCAAATAAAGAAAGTTGATCCTGTTAAATATTTTCTTAATAATCCGAGATCTAACATGGGTAATACTTACAAGAGCCATGAAAACCACCCCATTTGTAGTCCTGCTGCTAGATGAAGGTGCATCAAAATATATGGCCACATAATCGCTCACATTGATCCTGTAATTGGAGAAGAAAATAGGAAATTAGCGGTTTGTACTGGACAGAACAATGTTAATACATATATCTGAGCTTGGACACTAAAAACAATCATTTTTTAAAATTATTTTAGAAGTACATCTTGAATGCATATTTGCATGTGCATTACATAATATGTTATTATTTATCCATGTGTTGTTTAAGAAATAGTTCAGTAGTCTATATGGGCACCATCACTAAGGATGCTTTTATTGTACATTACACAAATCTTTAAGTACTAATTAATGACAGACTTGTTTTAATCTGTTCAAAATTGTAATATGTACAAGGATTCCATTCATTTTTACTGGTTTACCACTGTGCATAGCCATAGACCTGTACATGTATATGTACACCCATGTATATCAGGAGTCTAATTTAAACATCAGTACCGAGGCAAACCTTATGGGGTCAGGTGACATCCAAATATAAGTTGGTTTATGTTTATGTGCAGGGCTGCATACAACTCATAATTTGTTATAAATATATTTCATAGATTTTTAAATATTTTACAATAATTTGCTCAGACCTGCTAAGCTCCACCCTAAATAAATGCTCCAGATTTCATTCTTCTATCTGTTAATCATTAGTGAGCTAACAAGAGAAATTGTTATGTAACTTTCTCCAACTCAGCACATGCACACAAATACCTCCATGTTACTTTTCTTTTCCTGGTAATGCTACACCACTTCTGACATAGCAACTCATATGTTGGTATTTTATGGTATATTGTAAACAGGTGATCAGCTCTGGTTTAGCAATTATACATACAGATGTACATGTACCACTGTCTCTTGTTAGCTCACTAATGATTTACAGATGATGTCACAAGATGAATGAGATTTGGAGCATTTTTCTAGGCTGCACATCAACAGGAATCAAACTATATTTGGATGTCACCCGATCTTTAAAACCACAAACATTGATTATGATAAAGGTACATGTACAATGTACAATACAGATCGTAACTAGGCGTCACTATATTTTTAGTGACAAATCTAAACTTTAAAAACTTTCACACACCAGTTCCATTACAATAACCCATTAAAAAAAGTACAAGTTAAGTAATTTAAGGACAAAATATACAGTTCTTACCTCTATATTCTTGTGGATAACGGTAAGGAAATGAGAGAACTGTCTGCAGTGTTCATGCCTGTCTGGAAGAGATGCTATCTAGTATCAGATGTTGCTAGCACATGTTGCTGTAACCTTGTCAATATCTTAATGGTCTATTGTCGTGGACAAGATCCGCAGTTCGAGTCCTGCTGCGGCACTAATATCCTTTGGCAAGACATTTATCTACATTTGCCACACTCGACCCAGGTGAGGTAAAACTGGGTACCTGGCAGGAATTAATTCCTTGAAATGCTTAAGCGCTGTAATGGAAGCCATGCTAAAGCCGGGGTTATAATTTCCAAATTTGGAAGCGCAAAGAGACGTTCAATATGTGCTACACAAGAACCGAATGTTATTATTATTATTCCATTGTCTTAAAGGTACTATGTCCCTTTTGCAGCCAACCTCAAATTCTGTGGAACTTTGCATGAATTATGAATATGTCATGTATGTCCTATCTGTGAAATTTAAACGTTAGCAGTGTCCTCATATTCAAATTATGCAAGGAAACCCGTTCACTTGCTAGACTTCACTGTCAGACACTATTGAGTGACTGACTGGCTTTTTTTCTTCTTTGGTAATAACATACATGAAAAGAGTTGTAAAGGGTACATGAGCATTTGTCTACATCAATAACCCACTTCTTGTGATGGCCAAGATTAAACTGATTGAATCTTTGCGCAGCATAAACGTATGACCATTCGGTACAATTGTCTGAAAATCAAGACTATTACTTTTGGGCTCTATAGCCCTAAAGTCGATTTGACAACTAATAGTCATTATTTTCTCACTTGAAGACATTTTCAAGCCCCACCTTTTTTAGGGAAGTTCTAAATAAGTATTATCTTTCAAATGATTTTGTCATGTCATGTCATGATTTTGTTCGTGATGTATCATTCTATAATGGATCTTTAATAGAGCTTAAATGAAAATATTGTAAGCAACTAAGTATGAATTACTATATCAGGAAAAAGCTTCCCACCAAACAAATGACATTTGAATAAATGAAAACCGCTTGTGTTCTCCCTAGAATGGTGTGACGTGTTTTGTTGAAAGACAGAGCAATTTCATGCTGAAGGCAAGCAAAAGCTAAGTTTGAGGACAAGCAAGGTTATTCATACAGATTTTAGGCAATTGCTTTTATGCTTGATCTTATGCTTGAAGTTGAACCAATGCTTACAAGCAGTTGCTACCTTTTATGTATACGGCCCAATGTACAGTATAAACTTCTTAGAATCAATAAAACATGAACCCGTAACTATACCAGTGTAGATAAATATGCTTGGTCCCCATTTACAGAGACATTCAGAGAGGCATCGGTCCAATTCTGATGTAAAGGCATAAACTTAAAAACCGCATTGCAGTAATGAATTTTCACCCAACTTTAAATTACCCAGGTCTGGCCTATGTGTAAAGTTATGCGGGCTTAAAGTTGATTGGTACACACTTCATCAAATTAGCTCTGATATATGACCATAACACACCCTAATACACCTATAATAATGCACACAAACACTCACTCGAATTAGATTTTGACCAACCTATGCCCCGTTCAAAGTTGTTAAGGTGTGTCTGGTGGTATAGACTAGCAGAGTATGGCACAATTCTACTTATCTTCCCCTTTGTTTTCAAAGTACAATTCATCTTGGAAGAGAAATGAATAGCACCAATTTCATGAAAGGTGATGCAAAGAAAAGAAAAATTATTTCTGACTAGTACTAAAAATCAGTTTTGTTCATCGTCTCTTGAAATTTTATTTTACTTCCTTTCCAACCCTTCATATATTTCATAACACAAATTTGCATGGGTGGGACTGACTCTTGGTTTGTTCTTAGCAAGTGTACATATCATCATTGAAATTACAATATGCCTAAATAGTTAAGAAGATGTTTATTACAGTAAAAACTGATTTACTTACGTTTGTAATGAGGGAAATGTCTGAAATAAATCAACTGGATCCGGAGAAGGATGAAAATAGCTTTCTCTGCAATCCCATTGCTTTCTAATTCTCTGAAACTACAGCTTGCAGTACAAACTCTTGACCAATCAGAAGCCAGCATTCATGGGAGTCAGGGGAATTCCCTGTTATGCTAGTCTATGAATGCAGACACATTGTCACACAGGTGGGACTTTTGAAATTATGTAAATTAAGGCTACTTACTCATGATTCGTGTCAGCAGATTTTTTGGAGCATAGCCTAATTTTGATCCTCATACATATACAAATGTCTGGTGAAAAAATTATGCTTTTGTCCGGCCTGTCATGATCAAAGGTATATTTGTCACTAAGCTACCCCACTATATGTTAATCTTTGTTTTTCCTTCACTCACATTCTCTTATGTTCTTCTTTGTTTTAATCATTCTATCACTTTCTCTTTCAGTCTTTCCTTATGTTATTCTTTGTTTCTTCCTTTTATTCTTATGTTATTCTTTGTTTTTCCTTCTATCACCTTCTCTTATGTTATTCTTTGTTTTTATAATTCTATCCCTTTCTCTTATGTTATTCTTTGTTTTAATCATTCTATCACTTTCTCTTTCTGTCTTTCCTTATGTTATTCTTTGTTTCTTCCTTGCATCACATTCTCTTTTTGTCTTTCATTATGTTATTCTTTGTTTTTATAATTATTCTATCACTTTCTCTTTTGTTATTCTTTGTTTCTTCTTTCTATTCTTATGTTATTCTTTGTTTTTTACTTCTATTACCTTTTCTTATGTAATTCTTTGTTTTAAGCATTCTATCACTTTCTCTTTCTGCCTTTCCTTATGTCATTCTTTGTTTCTACCTTATATCACCTTCTCTTGCGTTATTCTTTGTTTTATTAACTCTATCACTTTCTCTTTTTGTCTTTCCTTATATTATTTTTTGTTTCTTCCTTCCATCACGTTCTCATTCTTTGTTTTATTATTGCGATCTATGCTCAAAACAGCAGTCGACAGTCGGCCGTAAACAATTCCAAAAAGCGTGCGCCGAAGTTGACCTATACTTCCTGGGTCAAACTGCGAGGGTGATGCGCAGTGGCTGGGCTCGAAATGAGCTAGAATCAGTGTTGATGAAAAATCGCTTGAACGCTAACCGCAATGACCTTGTTTTTTGTAACAGCGTTTTGATTTGTGATTCATGTTTGTGATTCTAGCTTCGAAAATTCGATTGAACGCACCCTTAGTTGGTGCTAGAATTTCTAGCACCCTTTATGACCACAAATTGAGAGTATTGTCTTGACCTTAGCTGTTGGTGAGGTGTCGTGATCCTTACCTTTTCACCATATTCTGAATCTTCTCCCCCTCTCCCCTCCTCCCCCTCCCCCTCCCCCTCCCTCCCTCCCTCCCCTCCCCCTTTTCCATCTCTCACTCTCCCTCTCCTTCCCCTTTCTCTTCCTTCCCCTTTCTCTCTCACTCTCTTTTCTCTCTCTCTCTCTCTCTCTCTCCCTTCCCCTACTCTCCTTCCTCTCTCTCCCTTCTCTCTCACTCTCCCTCTCTATCTTGCTCTCTCTCTCTCTCTCTCCAGCCTCTCCTCCCCTCCCCCCTCTCTCACTCTCCCTCCTCTCTCTCTTACTCTCCCTCTCCTTCCTCCCCCTTGCTCACTCTCACTCACTCTTTTCTCTTTTCTCTCTTTATCCAGTACAGGCCATGCTGCAGAGGAAGAAACAGCTGAAGATTGCAGAAGAGAAGAAGATGAAGGTGGAGAAAGCTAAGGTCATTGAGGTCAAGGTCAACATGTGGATTGAGGAAAGAACAGCTAAGGAGCAGGAATCAAGAAAAGCCAACTGGAGGCTAGAGAAGACAAAGAAACAACTTGAAGCAGAAGAGAAGAGGGGAGTCCAGGAGAAAGCAAAGGTGAGTGTTAAAGGGGAAGTCCACCCTGATATTAAGTTGCTTTTAATAAAAGCAGGAAAATGAGAGAAACCGGTCAGTGAAAGTTTGAGCAAAAACCGACTAGAAATAAGAAAGTTATACATGTATATTTTCAAAGTTGTCATCATTGAAACACAAATTGGCAACACTGTGACATATCTTGCAAACTCCTCTCCAATTTTATAAACTTTCGTTTTCTTACTGATTGGTTAGGGGAAATATGATTCATACAGGGGTTGTATAAAAACATCTTTGAAATAATTGTATCCCCCGGCAGTATGCCGGTGGGGTACTTTGGATTCAGCAGCGTTACGCCGCCGCCGCGTCATATTTTATTCTTGTGTGCGCTATAACTGCCACATTCCTTGACGGATTTCTTTCAAATTTTGTATGGAGGTGTATCGTGGTATAATCTAC